AGTTGACACTGGAATATTTTTTATTACAGACAGATGTGGCATCTCACATAAGCAGACTAATTTGGTAACTGTGTTAACGGGAAGGGGAGGGGAGAGCAACAATAAAATTTCAAGTTTCCGATTGTGATAAAGTCTATAGGCATTAAGTTAATGTGTAGTTTAATTATAATTCAGTTTGAAAATAGGATCTCCCATTTGATGCACCTAAGAACAGCTCTGCTCTCATTTCCTGTCTTCAAAAGACAAATCAAATGACACAGATTACAGTTACTTTTTTTTAAGGCAATGGGGTTAAGTGACTTGCCCAGGGTCACACAGCTAGTAAGTGTTATGCATCTGAGAACGGATTTGAACTCAGGTCCTCCTGACTCCAAGGCCGGAGCTCTATCCACTGTTACTTTTTATTTTTAAGAGATTCAACAGAGACTAGGCCAAGCTGACAGGTAACCAAATAGTCAAGTGTCACCATAGCCACAGCCCCAAGTTACAGGTTAAGATCCTTTATCTGGAGCCTTGTCATCTTCACCTCTCCTAGGGGAAATGAGGGAAGAAGGGTGGGGGGATTACAGCGCTTTGGAAGATCATGAAATGCACCTTGGATAGTTGTGCCTACCACTACGATTTGTCAATAATACTACATTCTAAATAATAATATGTTCAAACAGTAAATAAAAAATTTACTTTAAAATATTTCTACTGTTCTCTCAAATTTCTGTTCAAATAAATTGCTGGTTTGTACAAGAAAACACAATTTTAGGGCATGGTCTCTGGTCCAGAGCGTATATAGCAGCAGATTGGTTTGATGGTGAGAAGGCGGCTGGCTGGTTTAGGAGCTCCAAAAATGCACTAGGAATTAGGGTTTGAGCCAAATGTCACACAACTGGCTAGTGACAATCACAGTGACCCAGTGAAAAGGAAATTCAAACAGTCTGGAGGGAGGCAGAACCAGGCTGGGGACTTGTCTGAGCTCTCCTCCAAAAACCTTTTAAAGAAATGTATCTAAACACATCCCTCCTGACAGAGTAGCAAAATACAAAAAGACAGAGTGAAACAATTTTCCAGCCCAAGACAACTTGGAAGGCTGGCAGGAAAGCTCTGTTGCACCAGGGTGAGAAAGGAGAGCAGACTGTACCAGCACAGTCCCAGTCACAACAAATGAGGGGCAGGTCTTGGGAGCGACTGAATCAGCAGCAGTGGTAGCTGCTGCTTCCAGAGCTCTCAGCCCACAGATTTACAGTAAAGGGGTCCAACAACTGGTAAGAAGGAGATTACAGGGGTCTTTTAGCTAGCACTGAGGCAGGACTCTGTTGCTTTGCCCATACTTGGATCCTGGTCACAGTCCTGGGTGGCAGTCCCAGGGAAAGGAGGAGCACTAGCGTAGCAGAGTTTGTGTCCACAACGGACATGGAACCCTCCTCAAAGTTCCAGGGCAGAAAAGAGTGCTTGCGGTCACTCACAGACTAGAGCACAGGCCAGGAAAGTAGTAAACACCTCTCTTTAGATCATACCATCACGGAAGAACCGAAAACTTACAGGTCCCTAGAAGTATCTCTGAAAACAGCTGCACAAACCCCTGAAGCTTGGGACAGTGCACCCTCCATCTCAGAATAAGCCGTCTTTTAAAAGAGTTAAAAGTCAAGTAATAGACTGGGAAAATGACCAAACAGAAAGGAAAAAACCACCTAACTACAGAAAGTTACTATGATGATAAGGAAGATCAAAACACACTCTCAGAAGATGATAAAAAAGTCAAAGCTCCTATATCCAAAGTCTCCAATAAAAACGTGAATTGGTCTGAGGAAAACACAATTTATCAGCAGTCTAATAAATAAAATAGTAAAACCAGAAAAAAGTAAAGGGAATTGTTTTAATTTTTAAGAACTGGGGATTTCTTAAAATTTCCTAATTATTTTTGACTGGATCTTTCATTTTACTAGTGGAGAGAATTCCTAATAAGAAAATGCCTTCTACCAATGCAAAGTGATTTGCCCAGAATCACATAGCTGGTTTCTTATCAGAGGCAGGTCCTTCTGACTTGAGACCAGCTCTTTATCCCCCATATCACAATGCCTATGACTAAATATAAATATAATGTATATAAATACTGAATGTTTTTCTTATGGAGAAAACACAATGTAATGAAAACAACACTGGGACTTGGAATCAAAAGATCAGTTTCTTCCACTTATCCATAACTGTGTGACCTTGGGGAAGTCACTAAATTTCTCACATGTCCAATTTCAACTGTAAAACTTGTGCTGAGAGGACAGTCATGGTGAGGTAAGCGGTATATAAACTAAAAAGCACTTCTCTCAAGTGGCTTAAATTATAACTGTGGAGTGGCTAGAATGCCAGGAAAGGGGGTCTAAAGGTTACTTTTTAGGAAATACTGAGCTACTAGAGATGTTTACAAGTAGGAGTTGCACACAGCCAGTATGTGTCAGAGGCAGACCTTAAGCAAGGCCAAGTTTCTATCCACTATACCACGCTTCTCTCATAAGCTGAATCCTAAAACTCATTTTTTTTTGGTAACATCACAACTTAAGTGCTTAGCACAGTGCCTGGCACATAGTTAAGTGCTATAAAAATGTTAGCTGCTATTATTAATATTGTTATTAGGATGCCACTCCTACTTTTAAAAACCTATTGGCTTTTTCCTATTGTGTTTGTAGTGCCCCAACGGTTATGGACAGGGTTGCTAAATAGAATATTGTGGCTCAAACTCATCTTTCATATTCATCAACTTACCAGGTATTACTGTGACCTCTTTCACATCTGCTCCTCCCCTTTCCACTGACCTCATATCTTTATTGACACTTAATTGGTCTGCAGCAGAAGTGTCAAGCATGGTGCAGCAACTCTCCCTAGTGTGGTCAGAACCAAATCAAAATGTAATAGGGAAATATTTCAAAATAAAGAAATATACAATGGAACATTGATAATATGTGACTTTCTAAGTCAATACGAAACACAGGGATCCTTATGTTTGGTTTAGTGGCTCCATTTTTATTTATGTTTGGCACCATTGGTCTGTAAGAGTCATTTTTATCTACAATTCAACACTCCCTTCGTCCAATTTCAATCCTTCAGAGTATTGCCAGATTTATTTTCCCTCTGCACAGCTTCTTTCTACTCAAACGTCTTTAGCGGCTCCCTCCAGTTCACTAAATAAAATTCAAATTTCCACCCACAGAAGGCTTTACATGGTACCATGTTATCTCCACAGCCTTATTTCACATTATTCCCCTCCACACATTCTTTGATTCCAGGGAGGCTGAGAAGTACAGGGGAAAGAACACTGACACCAGTCAGAAGCCTTGAGTTTTGATGCTTCCCTAGATTTCAGTTTCCACATTCCCAAAACGATGGGGTTGAACACAACAGACTCAAGTCCAGTCCAGCTCCACATCCATGATCTCTCAATCCCAAACTGCTCCCTGCCCCACCTTTACATACTTCCTTCCTTCTGCCCAAGAAGCATGGTTCTTCCACCAAAAAGGCTTTGTCAGGTTTGTTTCTTTCCCTGGAAAGCCTTTTATTCCCTTTACCAGTTGAAGGTCTACTTTAATGTCTCACTCACATGCCATCTTACCATTAAACTTCCCTGGATTCTACGGTTGCTAAATTATACACTTATCGTACAACATTATATATCACAGAAAGGCTGTATACAAGACTGGTTGTGTAACCCTGGGTGAGTTACTTAACCTCATGAAATCCAATTCCCTTTCCCCACAAAAATGGAAAAAAACAAAACACTTTCTGTCTCTCAGCTCCAAGACTGTAACATACATGTAGGCAGGGGCTGTGCCTTTTTAAATCTAGAAAAGTGCTCTGAACCTGAACAGATGAGGAGTTCAAATGAATTGCTGAAGCTCTGGTGGAGGTCCTCCCTGCATGCTTCTGAATACAGTGGTACAGGGGGTAGAGTGCTGGACTTGGGAGTCAGGAAGACCTGAATAAGACTTGAGAAAGTCACTTAGTGTCAGTGCCCCTAGAAAGCTCTTCCTTGGGGCAGCTAGGTGGCACAGTGGATAGAGCACTGGCCCTGAAGTCAGGAAGACGTGAGTTTAAATCCGGCCTCAGACCAAACATTTGACACTTACTAGCTGTGTGACCCTGGGCAAGTCACTTAACCCCAAATGCCTAAAAAAACCCAAAAATTAGATAGAAAGCACCTCCTCTTTACTTCCATTTCAGAGTCCTCCTCTTCACCTTAAGACCTAGCTCAGACAACTGTCTTCTTCAAGAAGCCTTTCCTGATCCCCTCAACTACTCACTCCACACTCTCAAATTACCTTAATTTTAACTATGGTATGTATGCTTTATGTTTATTCTATATACATTTTTATTTATACCTGCCTCATCCATTAGAATATAAGTACCTAGTGTGTATGAATGGTTTCATTCTTTGTTACTTGTATCCCCACTGCCTGGCCAAGGAAGATGATTTCACCTGTAAGATGGGATAATAACTACACCTACCTCACAAAGTTGAGAATCAAATAATGTAACCCATATTTTGAAAATCACTTTGCAAACGTTATAGTTTTGTTCACATGCATATATGTATAGATAGTATATGTGGTTGTAGGTGAGATAAATGTGAAATGTCATATGAGATATATTTAGTTTGATAAGTAACGGATATTTCGGAAAATGTTTGATAATATATATACACGTAGGGCATGTAAGCATATGTACATGTTAGCTGTCAAACTTTATTTCCCTATATGTATATATGGTACATACTCTACATACGTACACAAGTTATTAAACCGTTTTCTTTCCCATAATGAAGCACAGACGTTTCTTTCTCCCCACCAGAGTCTGCAGGAAGGACCCTGCATCCACCCTTGAACCAGTGGACAAGCCACAGGTCGAGTGCAGCCAGCCCCGCTCAGACTGAACAAAAGCAGAAACAAGAGAAGCCGGCAGGGGCAGAGGCCACGAGCCCCGGACCCAGCCCCGGACCCAGCCCCGGCCCCCGCCCGAATCACCTGCGACTTCTCACATCCCCATATGGGCCGCCGGGGCCGTCGCGGTCTCCCCCTCTTCCTTCACCGTGGAGTCGGAGCTGCTGGGGTCCGGGGCAGCGACAGCGCGCACTGCCTCCTCCATCAGGGTGAGCCAATCCCAACTAGAGCCTCAGGGAAGGACAAACCACCGAGGCCGCCACCGCCCCGGGCAAGTGGAAAGCGGGAAAGCTTCCGGGCGGGCGCCGGCCGAGTGACGCACGCCCCAGCCGGGCGTCTCCTCCGGCGCGCGCACACGACGCGCACGCCACACGCAGTACGTGGCATGTCGCGCATGCGCGTCCGTGTCACGACCACTTCCTCTTTCTTATGATTTGTCCCAGAGTTTTTTGAGGACTCCTTTTCGCTGCCCTTTGCGGTTTTTTGTAGGCCTCGAGCGAGCTACCAAGCGGGAGTAAGCCAAAGAGGATAGGATAGAGTGGCCAGGCTGGGGTAAGGAGAGTCCTTAAGGGTCTTCCCAGCTTTAGCCTTGTCTTTGACGGGCTCCCGGAGCCTGGGGCGTAAGGACTGTACGGCCGTTAGATGGCTGGCCACATGACCTCTGAGCTCTCCGTCTCCCCTAAGCATGTGAGAGGTGTTTTGGTAGCTTTCAATTGTGGTACCTCAAGCGGAATAAAAAGCTAAGGAACGCGAAAAGAATAAAACCACTAACTCAGACTACATAAGCTGCACCCAGTAGCAAGGTCAAAAGAAACATTTAAAGCTCCAGGGCGAGCTGTTCCATACTCTCTTCTCAGCTTAAGTCTCCATGTCGTTGTCCTGCTCAAAGTACTTCAACAGCACCTGTTGTCTTTACAGAAAAAAAAAAAACCACGAATTCCTCTGCTTTCTAAAACCCCTCACAGTTCGGCTCCAACCTTGCTGGTCTTTCAAATTACTCTTCCTCATGTACCTTTTTTGTTCAGTCGTTCAGTCCTGTCATGAGGATGGGATCTCGACCCCAAAAAGGAAAAACTCTGGACTTTCCCACATGGCCAAAACTCTGACATTCGCCTAAGGATATAATCGTGTCAACTGGCCTGTCATTGTGGCTACTCCCAAACTTCCACTTCTGTTACCCTACACCTAGCTTAGCCCTCCATTGTTTTACCTCCCTAAGGCCCCAGGATGTTTCCCACCCTTGATCCTACCTAGGCTCCATTCTCCCTTGGCCAGCTCCCAGGAATTCTATTACCTCATGGACTACTTGGCCACTCCTAGATCCCTCCCGTAGTCTTTTTGTATATAGGGTCCATCTTGTCTCCTTTAAGGTGCTCAGATTCTTAAAATCTAGCCAATAGCTCACTAATGTTCGGACTCTTTAAGAGTCTGTGGATGTCCTAATAAACCTTGTCTTTGGCTGAAAGAAGGTTTGGGTCAAATTCTTTCAGGCAGGACCCACATGTGATTTTGGGGTCCCAGCACCCCTAAACCTGAACATCTGACTCTTCATGACTCCGTTTTAGGTTTTCTTCGTAAAACTACTGGAATAGTTTCCATTTCCTTCTGCAGCTTATTTTACAGATGAGAAAACTGAGGCAAACAGGGTTGAGTGGGATTGAGACCACTCACCCAAATAAAAACTCAGAGGTATCTCCAAGTAGAGAACAAAAGGTTTTATTCTAGCAAGACTCGCAAGAGAGTTGGTCATCTCCTACCCAGGGCAGACTGGAGTAGTGAGGCCCAGCACAAACAACAGCAAGCAGTATATATAGTCTTAGACAAACCACTCCAAAAAGCCCCCCTCCTCACCTGTTTGTCTCAATCTCTTTATCCTCATTGGCTGAGGCAAGAGACCTCACAGTCTATACTTAGAACCCGAGAGATACATTTTACTCAAAACTAGCTTAGGAGCTAGAGGATTGCCTTATTTGGTAAAGTTAAGGCACAAAACAACAGAGGGGGTGGTTACAAAGTGGGGGGGGAACCAGCTGGTGCACAACCCCCTTCCCCAAAAATGAAAGTGAAACTTAGGCCCAGCTCATGCTGAAGGCTCACTACATTTTGGAGCATAGCTTGCATTTCACATGAGAAACTTTCACTTGTCCCACACAGGGTTAAGTGACTTGCCTAGGGTCATACAATTAGTGAGGCCAAATTTGAACATTCCAGTAAAACTAGCCCAAGTTGATATTTCCCATACATGAAATTATGGCAAAAAGAACCCCCAAACCCACTTTTGTACAACTAATACAAATCTGTAAAAAATGTCTTCTGCACAATCATATAGAGCAAGTGGATTCTCCCTGCCAGCGCTCATAACTATATAGAATATATGTTTTACTAATATGTATTTTAAGTTTTCTTACATCACAAGTTCATTGTCCTGAACTCTAAGAGATGAGAATCTGCTTCTTTTCCCTGCTTCCCCTTTCCTGCTATCAGATTTAAGATAAGAGATTACTTTTAAATGGAGGAAGAAGAGAAGGAAGTAAGCATTTATTATTATCCCTACTATGTGCCAGGCTCTGCGCTAAGGGCTTTTTGCAAACGCATCATTTGATCTTTGTATCTTTCTAGGGGTAGTCAATGGACTTTTCACCAAGACTTGGGCTTGCACTGTTTCTGTTTTGGGCCTCAATAAAAACCTTGACTGCTGTTATTATGTTTCTATTCCAAGTCCAATTGACTTTGGTCTTTTTTTATGGCAGCAAGAGTTTAGGAAGTAACAAGAGAATCTGTTTTATTGCTTCTATTAACTGTTGTGGAAAGGCTTTATCTGCTTCCTCAACTTTATGTATCTGTCCCCTAAGCTAGAGAGCTGTTGGCAGATGTTGCAGACTCTTTTGAAGGAATGAGTGTATTGTTTGGTGTATTCCTCTCCTTCCTCATGTGTCCTGGGGTTTTGTTCTCACCTGAGCCTTCCCACCTGGAGTAGGGAGAAAAACCTCTGCTTCACAATATTATAGCCTTGAGCTTCTTATACGTTTTATGTGGTCATGAGAGATTTTTTTTCTGTCCTAGCTTTATTACTGCCATCTGCTTGAGACAAGCAGTCTTATAATTAGCTAGGATCTGCAAAATCAATCTGAGACATCAGGCTGCACCTCCCATGATAAACTGGTTAATGATATGAGATCTTCTGGCTAGGTTTTATTACCTCTGTTTACTCAAGAAAAGCATGTCACATGAGTTGCTATGACTAGTATTAATGATTTGTCTGCAAATTCCAGCTGTATCACAGGGGTTTAGAGGCTAATTTATTATTTAATCTGATAAAGATATTCCCCTTCTGCCATCGTTCTTTGATTGTAAATCTTTACCTTCCCTTTCTTTACCTTCTGTAAAATTTAATTGTGCTGGTCCTACCTATGTATCTAAAATCTATATAAGGTTGCTGAAACAGGTGCTCAGGGCCCACTGGTTTCTGTATAACAGGAGTTTATACTCTGAGCACAGTAAACTGGGTTGAGGTTTTGTTTGTTTCTGTTTCTGCATGTTCGTAAGTATGATTGGCAGCAATACCTATCAAATCCTTGGACAATTTTTATATCACCATGTAAAGAAATTAGTTTAGTTGCAGTTAATTTTAGGAATTGTTGCCCACAGCCAGATTGTACACCAAATGGAGAGGCATGAAATAACTTGTGACATGGGCCAGGAGGAGCAGCATTACTGACTCAGTTTATTCATCTGAGGGTACAGGATATATAGAGAAAATCTAACCTAACTTCAAAGAGTCCTCCCCGTGAGATACTCCCCAGAACATCTGCTGAGGAGGTGACAACATGAATTTCCTCGTTATCAGGGTTCTTAGATTGGGTTGTATTTTCCAAGGTTTTCCCAGGCGCCTTGGCACCACCTGCATAGAGGAGTGAATGTGTAAATCTAAGGTTCAAAGAGTGAGCAGGAATGTCTCAGGGACCTCCTAATCAGGAAGGAATTGGAGAGCCGTACCACTTAATCATTGAGCCCTTTCGGGTAAAAGCCTGGGCAGAAGTCAAACTCTGCCTTGGATCTTAAACCCTTATCAGACTCTTAAGATCAGCCCTCAACAAGGAATGAAATGTTTTCAATATTATCTAGAGCAAATTTTAATATCCTTTTTCATCCTAAACTTAGTCCATCAAGGTGAAAATGAGTATTAAACAAAGAATGGAGGAGGGAGTTCTGTTTTCCTTTCCTCTTCTGTGATATTATTGCCTTGAAAAATAAAAGGAAGCAAGAATTATTGCATAGATGAGACTTCAACCATGAAGAGAAAATAACCCTAAGAAAATTAGAATAGTTGGAACTGAAGAGGTCTAGGACTTTTGCAGTGCTGCTGGGGAACACCCCAAGGTCGTGGTACCGGGCTCTGCTGAATGAATTCTACTCAAATCTTCTTCAGCCAGAGGAAAAGTTTATTAGTGATAAATCGCATTGGCCAGGTGACACCCGTGAGGACGGGTGGGCATGAGAAAGTCTCAACCTTTTGAGCTTGAGATTCTCAGTCAGAATGGGGGCCAAGGTGGAATTTTTATACACTGAAGTAATTTTGGGTGGCCAGAGAAGGGGGGCTGGGAAAAAGGGTCCAGGTGAGAATTCCAATTGGAAGGTCTGAGAGATTGAATAGACAATGGGAATTGTCTGTAGACAAGTGGGAGCCAGATTCCCTTTGGGGCAAGGGGCTAAGATCTTGGCTTGGGCCCCACCCCCATCAGAACCAATAAATATTTCCTAAGTGCCTACTAAGCTAGGCACTGTACTAAGTGCTGGAATCAGTTTCACAAAATATGTACAATATTTAAAGGTTTTTATATCTATTGGATTTAATGATGCTTTTATCATAGATTGTTAAATTGGATAATGAAAAAAAGGGGTTGAAACTGTACTTAATCTGACATTCTTTTTCTGACCTGTTACTATCACAGAGGTAGAGACTAGTAGCTCTGTTTACCTCACAGGTGATACACATTTATTTATTTGTTGCTTTTCCTCTGGGAAGAACTTTTTTTTTTTGGTTCAGTATAGAACATCAGTGTTTTTTAAATTGTGTTACCAGACTTATTTTTTTTAAAAGCAATAACCTCCAGTTATTTTACTATGTTCAAGAAGCAAGATAATACCTTCAATCCCCATTCCCCCCCCCATTTTGCTGAAACAATGATTTGAATGTGTCCTTTGAGTTAAACTTTACCTAAAGAGAGGAAGTTATTGTATTTTGTGACCTAAAGATATATGAAGTATGATATTTAAATGTATTTGAAACACAAGCTTTAATGTTAAA